AAATATAAAGTGTAAAAAATTTAAAAAAGAAAAATAATATCAACTGTAGGAAAAAACCAGATATATGTGGATATAGAGGAAAACAGATCAGAAATAATCTTCCATGTTCAGAAAGGAAATGACATACATAATGAAGGGATTGCTCAGCATATGTAGAGAAGATATAGATAAAAATTAGTGGAGCATGGGAATAAACACTATAAGAAGAAACAGAATACATGAAGCAGACTTGAAGAGGTAGGTAGAAAATTAAAAACTATTAAAAGCTGGTGAACTATTGGTAAAGTTTCAGATCTGGAAGACAAGATTTTTGCTAGTGATTATAAAAAGAAAGATTCCTTAAAATTAACAGAGAGAAAGAAATAACAATTCAATAGCTTAAAGACAATTCAAGGACCACAATACAAGATTGATAGCAGTAAGAAAATTAAAGTGAAAAGTTATGGCATATAGGAATCGCAGAAAATTTCCCAAGCTTGGGAAAAGAATCTGATAATCATATGTGAAGTGTATAGAAGCTTATATGTTCTAATTAACCATACCGAAACACCTTCACCCACAAATATAATAAATAAGGTCCAAGAAATTCAGCACAAAAAGAGAATATTAAAATCTTTTCAAGAATAAATACATTCAAGTTAAATGAAAGCCCCTTAGGATCATGGGCAAATTCTCAACATAAATCCTCAAGTGAAGAAGAATTTGAAGTGAAGAATACCAAGTCCCTAAAGAAAACAAGTTCCAAACCAAGTTGATGTATTCTTCAAAACTATCTTTAAAAGTAAACAGAGAAGTAAGATACTTCCATTACAAAGAATACCTGAAGGAATTCATGCCCACAAGTTCAATAATATAAAGCGTATTGAAATGTATTATAGAAAGAGATGAAAATGACTACAAACCATGAAAAGCAGCAGAAAAAAAAGACATTAGACTGGGTGGCAGAAAAAATAAATGTAAAAAGCAGAGAACTAATAGTACATAAATAATATGAAAAGGAGAAGCCAGTCATATCTGTTATAGCAATTAATATAAATGGCTTACACTCACCCTCTTGAAAATGTGGATTGTGAGAATGAATCAACAAACAAGCTCCACGTTTCCAGCCAGAGCTCAGGCCCGGCATACTGCAGCAGGTTCCCTAGGAGCACAGCATCCAGACCCAAGCCAGGCACAAGTGGACAAGTTAGAATGTGATAGATATGGACCCGGTAAGATGAGATACATTATTATACCCTGATCTATGATAATATCTTATCTCTTTCTCTCTTGAAAAAAACACCATGCAACAGTTAACCAGGGTGAACTAGTCTGCCTGGAAGACCCCATGTATATAGAGGTGAGGTGATCATATAGAACTTGGGGGAAATCATTTAAATGCAAGTGACCATTTAATATTTTGTTAGCTTCAGAGTTATATTAGCTCTTATGTTCTAAAATAAAAACCCATTAGTTATAAATGTTTGTCAACTGCTAAACATCACTGCTGATTACTAGCGTTCCTAATTGCAGTTCTGTAAGTACAAAACTGTAATGGCTAGAAGCACAGACTCTCTCTTGGGCAAGAATATCGGTAGCTGTTAAGGTAATAACTGTACCAAAGCTTTACAGCAAAGATCCACGTACATTGTTATGCAAAATAACAAAGAGAAGGAGCAAAACGCTGTCGTATGTCCCAAACCCACACAGAACAAATGCAGAAGACACTAGAATAGAAGTAATTGGAAATCAGACACATGAAATCTCTGAAATAATAGCATATAAGTAAAGAAACAACTGAATTAATGTACAGAGGAAATCAGATTAGAAATAATATCTGAAGTTAAAAAAAACTAAAATGAAAGGATTACTAAGTGCTTCCAAAGAAGACACTGAAAAAAATAGAGGAGAATAGAAAAATGTTGGAATCATTGAATGAGGAATCTAGGAAAGAAATAGAATGGAGGAAGCAGATCCAAAGAGATATACAGGAAAATAAAAGCTCAATCACACGCTTGCAAAACCATTTGAATGAAAGCGAAGATAGAATTTCAGATCTTGAAGACACCGTTGCAGCAAGTGAAAAGGCATGCAATGATCACTAAGAAAAAACAGGATGCAGGAAAATGTGATTCAACTCTGCAAGATGATGCGAAGATGAAAAAAATACAAATAATAGACATCAATGAAAAAGAAAGAGTCAATAGCAGAAAATCATCCAAAATGGGGAAACAATCTACAATTCTGTTACCCAAGGCATAGAGGACTTGATATAATATCAACCTAATTAAAATTACACCTCAACGTATAATAATCAAGGTCCCAGAAATCCAGCACAAGTATAATATGCTGAAAAGCACTGAAGAAGAGAAAAACATCATATTTAAAGGAAAAAATGTCAGAATAATGTTAGGTTTCTCTTCACAATCCATCAAATCTAGAAGAGCATGGAGTAAAGTACATCAAGTCCTCCAATAAAACAAATTCCAGCACAGGATGGTATAACCTGTAAAACTCTCTTTAAAGTTTGATGCAGAAGTGAAATACTTCCATAACAAACAACAACTAAAGAATTTCATGATGACAAAGGCAAC